GACCCAAACAATCACTTAACAGAATAATAACATAACGGCAGAACTTTAAATCTTTTATATTCACAACTGTAACTGAAAAGAGACCTTATTATATCTATTGCTTACTTTTGTAAGCAGTTGTCATTTGAAATGCTACTGTTATTGTTAAGGAATTCTTTCGATGAAGAACTATCCATTGTTCGTTTTCCGTACTAGTACACGCTCATAGAAGAAATATTTTCATGATTTCCTTGAACTAGTGAAATGAAAATCATTTCAGATTGATAGCATATCATTTAAATGTACGAGAAAGAAAATGTTTTTTTATCTTCTAAGGGTGGCCAAAACTAACCAAAACTATCCTATATCGAAATTAGATTTACTTGGATTAGTTTTCTATTTGCCTGTTATTCATATTGTTAAAGTGGATGCTCAATTGACTGATTGTTGACACTTGGGTCACGTGAGTTTTTCCTTATAGGTAGTGCCTTCTATGACATCGTATTTTCGAGATACAAAGGTGGAACGGCGTGCCTGAATATATAGGGTGAACGCCCCGCGGTGTCGCCATCACGTGAATGCGCTCTTTTCCATTTCAGAACCGCAACCGTAAATAAAGACATTTAAATGTCAGGGTTTCCTCTTACTTTTGTCTTTTTACGTGATGTTTCCAACGCCGGCTATTCTAAGAACTTCGACAGCTCTGATTACAGATTCTCGGTCGACACGAAGACACTACTATTTTATCGACTTGAATGAAAATCCGCTACGTATTTTTTTTAGAAATATCGGAATCAATACTTTTCGTTGAACCTTTTTTAGTTTACTCAAGTGGAAATGAAATTCCATTATTAAAGTTTCGTTTTTTGTTATTGTTATTACAACTGAGTTTGTTTATACCTCCAATCTAATTCATCTTAAACATTTTCACTTGTAACCAGATACGAAAAATTGTGATACTCCACTGTTAGTGTCATAAGCGATTTTTAAATTGTCTCCAGAATGGCCCATCGTTATATATTTGTGCATGTCATTATATACAGGCTGTTGCTTAATGGTGTGACAATACTGATAGGGATAATCTGTGAGTTTCTAAACGTCTGAACTTCTGAGATGAGTAGTAAAGTTTTTAGGTTCCTGTTGTGTTCAATGTTATATATTTTTATAGTATCTAAGAAACAAATCTTTGTTAAATTTGGTAAGTGCGTTCTCTACCATCAACAGGCATTTCTGGATATGATTTAGATACGCTTTATTCGAATCGATGGATAGGTAGCGGATTGCGTCAACAATGACTGGCAAGGTCCCCCATCTCAATGATATAAATTTCTTTTTATGCGGCCATCTTAAATATAATGTATAAAAATCTTCACTCTTAATTATCTCTTTAGTATTATGTAGTATGTGAAACTATACTAAATAATGCTGGAATATTCGAACAAGCGGTAGCGAAAGCATGGCATTTCCAAGAATTTTTGTAATAATTTAGCTAATATAAAATTTAAGTGATTGATATGAAATTTCTTTGCTTTCGTCGTAGTATCGCAATGGTGTATCTCAAAAAGTTAAGTTCTGGTTTTTTATATTCTGGGGTCCGTAATTTAAGCACAACCTAAAGACAGGTCCCGCAACATAACTAGTTTTGTTCTTTGGAAAAAACAAAATATTGGAAAAAATATTATTATAATTTATTATTAATACAAAGAATAAAGTGCAGAGGAGAACGTATTTTGCACTTTGACAGTTAGTAGCATGAGAATGTAAAACATATAGTAACTATTTAGTGATTGCTGTGAAAGAATACACTGTCCGAGCGACGTTTGTAAGTGTAAGTGGTAAAATGTCTGCAAGCGATGCGAGGACTAGGATTTTTAAAAGTCTTTTTTAACAAAAATAACGCGCAGTTTTCTTTCTTTGCTATATTTGATACATGTACAGACCACGCAAGATCATTAGTTATTGTCACACCTAGGTCCATCTGAGAATCGACACTGGACACAAAGTTTCCATTGATATAATAATTCAAACCGGGCTTGTTCTTGTCAACATGCGGCACAGAACACTTTTGAGCATTCAGCGGCAATAGCCAAGTTGAACACCACTTGGAAATAGTATTCAAGTCTCTCTGCAATACGTCCGCATGTGTTGAAGGATTTTTAAATAATTTAGTGTCATCATCATAAGCGCTCACATGAGAATCAATGCTGGAGACCAAATCCACGGTATACACAAAGAATAGCACTGGTCCCGGCCCCGATCCCTGAGGAACACCACTAGGCACGTTTTGTGGCAGTGAAAAAGCGTTACCAATTCGAACTCTGAACGACCGGTGGCTTAAAAACGCCGCTATCTCTAGCAGTTTACCCCCAGTTTGCTGAAGTCGAGATAAATAATATCCACCGGGTCACCTGAGTCTAGAGATAATGTCCAGTGATTTAAGCATGTCAATGCATTTGATATGACTGATCTGCTGGGAACAAAGCCATGCTGCGATGTAGGTATAATATAGCAGTCGATTAAAAACGGTAACATCTGATTTACTATAAGGCGTTCAAGAACTTTACATATAATACGCACTAGGCTGAGAGGACGGTTATTTGAAACATCGAGCTGTCACTCTTTTTTTTAAATCGGTGTTACATTTGCGGATAACTACTGGGTCGGTAGTATGCCAGAGTCTAAAGATTTTCTCCAAATAATATAAATAGATTTTACTGGAAATTCCATCAGGTCCAGGAGCAGAATATTCTTTTAACTCAGAATGAGTTTTTTTCACGTAATTTAAAATACAGCACTGTGCAAAAAACTTCGTCTAATTAGTTCGTTCAGATTATTTTATATATTAAAATCCTTGGACATTGATCTTCTCTAAAAATTCCTCCAGTCACCCTGTTTATTTTAAATAGCAACGGTGCATCTCAAATAATATAGAAAAAAATTGCCAGTATATGTCAATATGCTCATCCGATTTTTTTTCTCTAAAATGAGTCCAAGATCGCCCCTTTAGTATTGATAGTTGGTTAGTTTAATACTTGTTTGTTTAATACTCGTCTCGTCAACTTTTAGTCGAGCATGGACTGCCATTCGTTGAGAATAAAGAACGGCTTATCACTCGACTATGTCAAGTTTTGGTTAGAATTTAATGTTCCATATGGGTTACTATATCGCGATTCAGTGCCGTGTGAACTATATCGCGCGCTCACATAAGAGCATAAAACTAACCCGATACAATCTCTATCTCCGTATATGTACATAAAATTATTATATATATGAAAAGTTCTCATACTTAATGTCAATGCCTCTTAAGTTGAGAGAAAATTAGCGGAAATATTCGCGACGCTATCTATCGCAGCGGCCATTTTAAAAATACCGAAATGGTTCGAATAACTAGATTAAATAACTAAGAATAATTACGCTTTCCTGCGGTAAATGTATGCGCGATACAGGAATAAGATTGCCGTAAAAGTCATGGTTCTGCAACTGTTTCGAATTGATGGCCGATGTAGCGAAAACGGTTGACTATAGTTGATCACATGGCGGCCTCCTTTATGGTTGTGGGTTCGATTAGAAACGCCGCGGAAGAACAGAAACTAATTGTCAAATATTATCGAATATCCAAATTTAGAGAATGAAATTAAATAAATTTTCCCGTTTTTTTTAATTTATGGAACATAAGTTATATACTGCTTCCATTGTACCATCAGATATTATAAGTTGCTTGTAAAGCCAGATTTCGAATAATTCAGAATGGCAGAATAACAGACAAAATATTTGAGTTGAAATGACTGAAATGTTTCAATTTTCATTCAGAACTTTTAATATTATGGTTAAATTCTTGTAAATTAGAACGCTCCTTTACCTACAATGCTATTAAGTTGTCTAATAATTATATTAAATATTTTGGTAGTATTATATTTGGTTGATGCTAAATAGACTTCATGCTTTTGAGATGTAACTATGTAAGTAGTATACTTCGCATGAAAATTAACTCATCATCAAAATTTGAGTCAATTTCAAAGTTAATTTTCTCGCGAACTACTGATTCGACTTCGATATAGGTACATTTTTTTTAATTGCAGCTTAAATCTGCAGAAACAATGTTTTTATTTTGACTCAAATTGCGTGTATAGACTGTTTAAACAAAAAACATTATACTCAATATTTGTCATATTCTGTGGGAATTCCTACGCTATTAGGTGTCTGTCTAAGTCAATGCGTTTCCCTATTTTTGCTTAGCATTTTGCTTTTTTATTCCCGTCTTTAACTCACTTATTAATACCGAATTTAGTATCAAAGGCACAATTACAGTTTGTTGGAAAAAAAAAAGAACAAAATCATAAACATTAAGCAAATTAAGAGTCAATACTCATATTCATAATTTGTTAGTTTTTGCTTGAACGATATTAGTCCATATTTCCTTGGTAATATTTTCTTCATCATCCAACGAGGCAGGTGGGGGTTGATGATCTCTATAAGCTACGTAGCCATTTGATCGCATAAATGTTCCATTGGGTCAATGTCTGAACTGCGCGGATGCCAATTCAAGGTCTCAATATTTACTTCATTTAAATAAATAATTCTTTTTGCAGTATGTGGTCTGGCAGTTTAAAAATCATCTTGTATTCTGGCAAACATGAACTTAAATATTGTTTTTTATAAGAACATTTCTAAAGATCTAGCTACAATTAAAAAAATCCCAATCGAGTCAGCAGTTCGGGAGAAAATTAACATTAAAGGTGACCGACATTTTATTGGTCTGTTAATTGTGATCACAAATTTGTATTGGTATAAATTAAATTTTGTACAATAATTAAAAATACCTCAATAAAGGCTATGATTATTGTTATTGATGTTTTTTTTTAAATATAATCAATGAACATACTATTTCCTTAAGTTTTGGGGATCTCTGCAAAACACAATTTACAGTTTGTTTCGGTTGGTCGCAAAAGGCCCGTTTTTAACGAATATTATCATCTGTGTAGCTTCAGATGACTAAAAAACCCTTAATTGATTGGTTTCAGACGGAGCGGCTGAGGTTCACTAAAAATTAAAGGGGGTTATGTGCACATTTGTACCGTCGGAGTACATAATGGCCAAAGGTGACGTAATTAAGGTTAATGGTAAGTCATTTTACCAATCAAAATTTTCTAGAGACGCGTTTGATCCCAGAACGTTTCCAAAATACGAGCACTTGCTGGGGAATAATGCCCGATGCATGCCTTTAGTTTCGATTAGTCTTCAACAGACGTTCGTTTGAAACCAAAATATTTAATCGAAAGAACAGTTCGAATTTCGTGCTTTCCCGAGACCGTCCGTCCGTCTCAATTTAATTCCCATTTTCTTGCTTCGTCTTAATGATTAAGTGGTTCCCCCGTGTAAAGCCGAACATCAACAACGTCATTCAAAGATTTAATACGGCCACGGGGCGTCGAAAAAAGATAACTGTAATTTTTCCATCCAGTTTTGTTTAAACACTTTGTTTCAAATGTCGAAAATTTGATTTTTGAGCTGATCTTTTTCGATGGGTTTTGTTAGAGGTTTCAAATTTGGTCGAAATATAGCGCGGAAAAGAGCTTTATACATTTTTGCTACAACTGTGTTTACAATAAATTAGGGTAAAAACCCGAATAATCTTTAAATGGACAACAAACAATTGTAGCCATTATCCAGGTCTACAAAATTAAACTTTTCGACAGATGTTTTTATTTTGAAAACTGACTTTATGTAATTTTGGAAGGCTGATTTCAAAAATTCTGTGCATTTGTATCTATCACGTAAGGTTTTTTGCAAATATTAAAGGAAACAAACGATGTTCCTAAAATAATTTATAATCCTAGTTAAAAAAAGTAAAAAAAAAAAGTTCACTTAGACTTTTTTGAGTGATATCTTCGTCTTTTTGCCAGAAAGCTGCGCCGTCCGAACATTCCAGCAGTATACCGCCAGTATGCTCCATCTGCCCTGGTATCGCCGTTCCATTTCCTTGATGTCCTGGTGAAACCTCTCTCCCTGTCTTCGCTAACTGCTCCAAGGTTTTCAGGAAAATAGTTCAAGTATGAGCACAGGAAATACACTTTCAAACTTATATTACCTAACCTAGGCGATGAAAGTGTTGTAGCATATTTTGAATACTTTCGTTGTCTTCGAACTTAAGAGTTCGAAGAAACTTATCAATTGCTTCTGGAAATGAAACCCAATCGTTTTCCTCGACATTGGTCACTGTTTTTTTGAAAATCTTTGTCTTTATAGTATATAATATAAAAATGTTTTCATCTCCGGCCCAACAAAAATACCTTCTTTTATCTTGACATCAGATATGGCTGGAAATTTCTCGCACAAATGATTGAAGCACTTTTTACAAATTGCTTCATCAAGTCAAGTTTGATATGAAAAGGAGGCAGTAAAACTTTTTTAGCGTCAACTCTTAATACATTTTTGTTATCAGGTGTAAGGCTTGTTCTAGAGAGCCGTACTATTTGAGGCCAACGTGTTAGAGCAAAAATATGGCGTTTTTTTTGGAAAAAGGGCCCCCCAAAAAGTACAAATAAGCGAACAGCTTTCAAACATCAAAATCACTGTACACGTGTGTTGATAATCTCGCGGTTTCTACTTTTCTCGAGAATTTCGTGCAAATAATTATAATGCGATAGTGGTAGTTTCTTATTATATTTGTAGGAAGGTGGGAAAGCACAAAATTATTTTAAACTTACAAACAATTTGAAAATATGTATTTATAGAATTTTTTGACAATATGTAGTCAATGATTGCACTTCCGATTTGACCGGAAACGACAGTAACTTTTGAATGGCACAACCTATTTTTTTTTGCATTTTTGGACCATCATAAATGCTATTTACCGGGTCACCTGATTATGGGAAAAATTGTAAATGAAACTTTTCTTTACTTGTATAATGGCAAATAGCATTTAATGTAATGAACTATTAATTTTTTAGGATACTCTATTTAATAATAATAATAAGACATTTATTGTTATAACCATCAAAGTTACATAGAAATAATTACATAACCAAAGTTAAATAAGCGATATAATGGTCAACAATAGGCCTTGTTAGGGCAGCCATCTAGGAGTTCTAGATACTGTTCAGGCCTCAATTTAACAGCGAAAATATAATAATAAAAAATTTCATAGAATTTATTTGAAAGCGCCAAGCGTAGATACACATAATTCTAAAGAAAAGAAAAGAGAAGAAATGGAGGGGGAAGGAAAGGAAAGGAAAGGGGCACATGTTTTGTAGAAGAGCTTAATATTAGTGCGTACGTAACAACTGCTTTTTGAAATTATTCCTAAACGTCGAGTTGGACTGATTAATATCAAAATTAGTAATAGAGTTAATGCAAATGGTTATATTATAGGAATATGATCTTTTAAATAATTCTTTGCGGTGACGGGGTATAACTAGTCATATACTACCCTACTGTTAACAAAAACTTTTTAAAACCGGTACTTTTTTTGCAACATTTTCAAAATCCGTTAAAAAATAAGTTCACAAAAAGTAAAAAACCAGATAAGTAAATACATTTTTATAAAAACAAAACATTACTTAGTTGTGACTGAAAATTCTGACAGTTTGTACATTATTATCTGATTATCGATTTTGTCGTGTTATCGATTTGGATTATCATGGAAAACAATAATCAATTTACAAATGGAGAAAAAGTTGATATGCTTCTGATATACGGGGAATGAAGAAAAAACTCTCGACAGACCTGTGCATTGTATGCAGCCCGTTATCCGGGACGTCACCTTCCTGCACATTATTTCTTTAGAATGCCGTCCTGTCCTACGTAGAATGATCTCCTGGATCCAAAAACACAAAGAAAGTTACTGTCGTTTCCGCTCAAACTGACGACCTAGTAATAATGTGTTTCAACTTTGGGCACCTTTAGAAATTTTAATATGATGATATATGTGTCTGTTTATATGAATTACCATATATATATTCAACATCATTTTAATCTAGATTTTTTTTACACTCTCTGATTTGTTAGTTTGAAAAAAAAAGATCAATTTTTGATTTCGGTTCGGGTCGGAATCATAACATCCCTGTGTAATATCAACGAGGACAAATTTTAATGAACTATTAACGCCCGATCCTAATTATCCTATACAGTTGTAATTATGCAAAATTGTTTATTAAGCGTACTTGTCATCAGTACCGAACGGTACCATCGAATACCCGTTATATGATTAATGTAATTGGTTGTTAAATATACCGGACGAGACACTCGCGTCCGTGTTTTCAATTAAACGGTTCATTAGGTTTAATATTAAATTACTGGTTTTCGTCGAAATTTGATTCCGTTTCGAGCTAAAAATCCAAACGGATCGGTATCACAGAAACAGTAAGCATAGGCGATTGAGGCTTCAGCAGTGGACACTAAATTCGTTAAAATTAGGAATTAACCCAAGAATTACCACGAAAGGCAAGTTTATTCATTTCAAGACCGTTTACAAAAATAACATTATCATTAAAAGTTAAGTGTGATCGAAACATTGAAGAAACGTTATAAATGTTCTGGAACATATTCAAGTTATAATAAAACGCCATTTTTTTAAAACGCAGGAAAAACATAAGAACAAGGAATCTAAACAAATCTTTGATCGAATTTAACAACAAATTTATGTAATAAGAGAGTCCAATAGCGAAAATCTAATTCATCCTGAAATATGCTATTGAAAAGATTCAGATTCAGATTCATCATCCAAAATTATTTAAAAATAAGTTTTCTGTCTTTTGCATAAGTAAGTGACAAAATAGGGAGTAAATTTTAAGGTTCTTATAAAATTCTTTGCCGTTTTCGTTTATATTTAATAAACCTTTTAACTGAAAATAGCGGTCCAACCTCTAACCAGTTATGAAGTCGGAAGTCTTCCTTATTTACATTAGATAGTTTTTTTTTTAATTAATGAAACCTATGACACTGTTGACTTGATTTCATTATTATTGTTCTTATCGATTGTTCCAAAAATATCACGCACCCTCATCAGTATATTTATCTATTTTTATAAGATTGAAGTTCTGATTTTTTCTTGACAGGTTTTCGGAATCAGACTTATTTTTAACAATTTAGTACCAAAAAATTTTCTGCGATTACCTCCCAAATTTACTTAAATTTTCTAATATTGTGCATACCATTGTAATTCCTATAATGACCACTGTTTACTACTATACTTCCAATTACCACTTATTTCCGCAACTAATGTGCGACACAACAAAAAGACAAGGTGATCGAACGATATTGACACATCTTTTCTTAAAAGAAAAAATTGCTGAAATTCACGGCTCCATTGCAACTCCGACATCCGTACTTAGTAGGAGTTTCTATATACTAAACATTTTCTTTATTATTCAGCTTAAGTCCCTCGATCATTTGAAGAAAAGTCCTAACCTGTGGCGTACATTTTTTTTTGCTTACTCAGTGATAACTCGAACTCAGCATTTCATTTATAGTTGTCAAACTATCGGCATTGCTTGGCGGAATATACATTTATGTTTGTTTTTGCACAGGAAGACACAGACTCTTCGACTCGTGTAGGAACAAACCTAATATCGAGCTGCTCGCGAACCTATCCGGACGACACGTGCGCTCACATGGCACGGCGTTTGTATTTAATGCCTCTACTTAACATACAATGCCGCCTCGACGTTAATTTGTGATGCGAGCAGACGTCATTGAATACAATAAAACCGCACACACTTTAAAAAACAGGGCCCGGGCATTGTTTGGTTTCATTTCGTCACACTGTTCGAAAACGCCTGGGCACCATCCAGTGGATGGAAATTTTATCGTGTTACGTCAAATTAGGTTTTTAAATATATTTTTTTAGAATATCTGAAAACCCATACGTCATATGCGGATTTGAGATTTTTATTTTATTTGAAAAACTTAAGAAACACTAGGGACCTTATGGACCCATCTTAATGTGTAGGTGCAGAAGAATGTATGATTCTTCCTTTAGTAAGCTGATTTCATCAGTTATTGAGCCACACTTATACAGATTACATTAATTTTGTTATAATATTATATTATTATATTATATTTTATATTATAAATATTATATTATTATTATATTGTATAAGATACCACAAATAACAATTGA